TTCTTCTTCTTCTTCTTCTTCTTCTTCTTCTTCTTCTTCTTCTTCTTCTTCTTCTTCTTCTTCTTCTTCTTCTTTTTTTGGTCTTTTTGAGTCAGGGTCAGGGTGTTGCTGTGCAGTTCAGGCTGGCCTTGAGCTCACTTTATAGCTCAGGCTGGCCTCAAACTCTCAGCCATTCTCCTGCCTCAGCTTCTGGAGTGCTGGGATACAGGCATGTGCTGCCACACCCAGCTCTAAGCCTCAAATCTGACCTAAATACATTTCTTTAATTTCTTTAATGAAAAGTCTATTCTTACAGAGCAATGGAAGAGTATAATTGTATTTTACATTAAATAAGTTCCTAAAAAGTCCTCTTTAAAAAATTTCTATTTTGTCTTAAATTCTTGTCCCTTGGAAGTGTTCACCATTTCTGTTGCACTATTACCCTAATTTTTTCTCATCTATTTGAATATCTAGAGGTTTACCTCAGCTATACCAACATTACTTGTACTAACAACAAAAAAAAATTTATGATTAGTATATTTAGGTTCTGTTTGTGGGACTTACAGTTTCATTATTTTATTTAATATTGATATCACCTTTATGAGGTATTAATATCCCCCCTATTATATGCAATAGTTTATTTAGAATAAGGCAAAATAAATGACTGGCCCTAAATAATTTTACAAATAAATGATTGAGAAGGGATTAGACTTAGGAAGGCTCATCAGGAATTGACAATCTAATACATCTGGCTGTCAAAGGCAATATAATTATGCATTGTTTTTCTAAGAAATTTTAAAAGGATTTAGAATATACAGGAAGGAATAATTAAAAACATTTGAGGGGAGCTGCATCTGTGAATTGATGGGTCTTCTCTGTTCATACAAGCATATAATAAAAAATGCAAATGCAAAATCATGGCACTTAGACTTAAATAAAATTAAGCTATTTTAATTGTTAATTTTGTTGTTTCTTCTTTAATGCTCTTGTTTATCTGCAATTTCACTTCTTACATTTCTTTGTCTAAAATTGTTTTCAAGAAAGGTCTAGTTTAATGTGAAATTAATATATTCTTACATATGTTTGATATACAGTGTATTTATATGAAATACATAAAAGTTAAAAATACAAGAAGGAAAAGTTAGAAAATACGTGAATGTAATTGATGAAAGTGAACTTTGAGTTAAAATTGATCAATATGAATTTAAGCCTTAAAAACTTTGCTTTTATATTTGTTTGACCAGATCTGCTTATCCAGGTTTAAAACACACACACACACACACACACACACACACACACACACACGCACACCCCTTCCTGTAGTCCCATCTACTGAACATCCAAGAAAAATTCAGTATCACTTTAAAACTTAATTTTCATAAAGTGGTCCTCAATTCCTTGAGTTTTCAATGTGAATGTAAAAAGAATGTTCTAGAATAGACTGTGAAATAAAATATTAAGGAATTATCAAAGGGAAGACTGTTTATTTCATTTCAAAGAGCAGTGAGGCAGGTGGAGATACATACTTGGCTAGTGTAGAAGAAATACAGGCAAGGAGCAAGTATGAGTGAGACACAACAAGTTGAAGTCCACAAGGAGTCCAGAACTTGTAAGACTAAGGACAGGAAATATATATTAACAGAAAAAAATTGTGCTGGACTAAATGTATTGTGCATATGCAATTGAAGAGAAAATGTTGTAAGATAAACTTGTTACTTTTGTAATATGACAGACAGTTTTAAATTCTAGTTAGTAATGTAGCTTAGAGGAGTTTGGCTGACACTTGGTCCAATGTTAGTGTTCTACTAGTCCAACTCGGGCACTAGATGGCTGTAATCTTTTTGTATATAATAATCGAGTGTTATTAGAAGAAAAATAGCTTTTAAAGAGTTCAAAAGATGACATGGAGAATCAAAAATACAGCAAAAATTAAGATTCTGTACAGTAGCCCTCATAATCAGCCTTAATTATTGTACAACAGCAGAAACTAATGGAGAACATCTGCTGCAGTTAGAATATGGATAAATATAGCCAGACAAGTTTATTGCACAATAGTTAGAAGCAATGTTTTATCCTATGTATGGTATATAGTCATAGAGAGAAGAATAAATATCCTACTTTTTATTGTTGCTGCAGAAAGGGTCTGTGGTTCACCAAAGGTAGGTAGGAAAAGAGCTCTAGACTATGGAACGTCAACAAAATGAATTTTTTAAATCTACCCCAGACAGATGGATTCTATTAATTCTGCTCTATCTGCCTCATGGATTACAGCTGCTTTTTCTCTCTCCCCTTCTCCATAGTGAACATAGCCCCCATCTAATGCCATTGGATGAGGACATAGTTCTGTGAACAGGAAGATTCCGCAGGACTCAGCCTATGAGAGAGTTCCTGAGGGTTCTCCTTTATGACATCCAAAGTGAAGTGGTTCACTGGCCTCCCACGTAGTTTCTCTGATCAGCTGCCCTCGAGCCGCCAAGATGCCTATATCTACTGTTCCATCAGCGATCTTTTCCCAAATGATAGCTACTAGCAATGTGCCTCCTCCTCCCCTTCGCAGCATACCACGTGAGTGGAGCATCCTTTGAGGATCTCATTTATCATTGTTTTCTATAGTGATTACCCAGGTATAGGGAACAGAGCATTTGCGTGTTGGTGAGGACATCTAGAACCTTAGCAACAGGCTAGTGGATGGATACAGGTGCATAAATCCTGGCATGTCTACTTCAGGCAATTTCAATTCTCCTGGTTTCACATAATTTTATATTTTATAAAAAGGATCTTGTTGAGCTCTTGGAGCTTCAAATTGGATGAAATTCTTTAAAAGGGAGGAAAAAAAAGGTCTGGAAAGGTCACATGGTCAAGCATGTATCCGTGACAGCCATGCAAATCTCTATGCAGAGTTGGTGTTGCTGCCATTAATGACATGATTAATATTTAATTTTAACAAAGAAATTTTTCATTTTTAAATTTAAAAGAAAAAAGAGAATTTCCATTTTTCTGACTATGAAACCTATTCTCATTTTAATTTTCTAGCATTTGACTTAGAATATCATAGGAATTAAGGGCTGGCCGGATAGCTCAGTGGACTAAAGCGCCTGCTTAGGCAGAGTGCAGTGGCCAGGATTCGATCCCTGGCCTGCTGTGCCAGCCCCACTCCTGGCGTACACTGAGACTGCTAGACTGGGTTTGGTGGCACCTGTCTGTAATCCCAGCACTTGGAAGGCTGAGAACAGGAGGATCACTATGAGTCTGATCTGGGTAGTGAGACCCTATAGACCCTGTACTAAATACATTTTTTTTTAAAAAAAAGAATATCATAGGATTCAAGTATAGAAATATTTTGAAATATATGTAACTGACAGTCTTATTTTATGTAGTCTACCTAAACCCAAAAAATTTTCCCAAGACCATAAATATTTGTTGTAGCCATCAATTTATGGAAATATTATGTGGAGATCCACATAGTGACCAGGGATGTGCAAAAGCTCCAGTGTAATTTTAGATAACAAAGGTAATGTGACCCTTTCCAACTTCAATAAAGAATTAACTCCAGTACCTTATTATCTCCTGGGTAAATTTATAGTACTGATTTGAAGAAGGCAATCTGTCTACCACTTAGCTTTCTGGGGGAGTTAACTCTTCTAGAGTTACTAAAATGTAATGTTCAGAGTCTTCAGAGAAAAGGCATCAGTGCAGCCACTGATACCTTTTGAAGAAGGGTATATGTATGTTTTAAACAGTTTTAGATTTAGTCTTTGAAGTTCTTTTATTTTTTATGTTTATTTGTTTCTATTATCATTGTAAAAATGCATATTTTTTTTCATTTGTGAATGGAAATAAATATTAAATCTAACTGAACCAAAAGCACAGCTTCTACTTTCAGGTTTTATAAAAGAAAAAACAAGTTGCCCTAAGATAATATGTTTTAGCAGCCCAGAAAGCTTAGTAGCTGGGAGTTAAAAGACCAAATTAATTTAGAATCGGGGGGATGAAATGTGCACTACCCTCCGCACTGTCTCCCAAGGACACTTAACTTCTGTGAAGTGATTAAAAGGGGAAAAATGAGCAGCAATTTGGATCTCAGAACTGACTGGAGCGTAATGGAAAGCAGCCGAGCTCCCGACTGTCTCTTCAGAGGCTCCTGCTCGACGTTCTGCGTCTGCGTCTCCTCTTCAGAGACGTGTCCTGCTTGCTTAACAGCTGTGTCTTTGTGCTAACTCTAGCAAGTCAACAGTTCTCCTTCATTTACTCTGATTGTCACTGTGGAAACAATGGCCTCGTGAAAGCTGCTGCGTGGCACACACTTGCCATCCCTAAAATGACTGAATCTGTATTATAAAGAAGCTATAAATAGGAATGTTTCAAAATATAATGGCCATAATTAGGAATGTTCAGCTCAATACCTAAAAATCTCCAGCCGTTCATTATATGTATATCATTGTTTACTTTGGATTTGTTTGGTGATGTTAGATTCAGGGAAGCATAGCCACGTTTCTGGGGCAGAGCCTCATGTGTAACATTTTTTGAGTGCTTCCTGCAGAGAGGATGTAAGCAGTCTGCGTGCTGTTTCAACCTTGTGAAGTCTGTGATAAGCAGAATAAGGGCTCCCAAGGATGTCCATTTCCTGATTCCCGCAAATTGCAGCCATTCTGTGACACACTGCAAGGGAGGATTGAGCATACTGATGGAATTAAGGCAGCTTCATGAACTGATGTAAGGTGGGGAGGCCATTTTCAACTACCCTAGTGCCCACTGTAATCATCAAAGTCTTTATCATGGAAACAGGGAGATAGGGAGTCAGAGTCAGAAGACTGAAAAGTGAGGATTATGAATGGAAGCCAGAGGCTCTGATGATGAAGTGAGACCCGTGCCAGGCACGAGCGGAGGAGGCATTAGCACATCCAGAGGCTCGAAAAGACAGAGACAAGTTTGCTAATGGAGCCCCAGAAGGAAGGCGGCATTGCTGATGGCTGGGTGTTAGCCCAGGGTCCTGTTTCTTCTGACTTCTCTATCTGTTAGATATTACATATTTCTGCAATGTTTTAAGCCAGGAAATTTCTAGTAATTTGTTACAAGAACAATGAAAAGCTAATAGAGGTCCATTTTACAGCGAAGTATAATGACATTGAGCTTCACACAGGAGTGAAGTGGTAGAATCTCCTAGGTGTATCATTTATGTAAATGAATTTTCTGTACTCACAAACACTGAAAGGAAATGCGAGGAGTAACCTTCTACCTCTCTGACCCACTACCTTGAAATCATTTTCCCACTTTCCTGGCTAAGTGATGTATAGGCACAGATTTCATTTTGCCATTTTGTCTACTTAGGTGCACTTATTTTAAGAGAAGCAATATATCACACATCCTCAAACACTAATCCACAGCTGCCTCATTGGCTGTGACATTTGGACTTACAGACACTTGAAGCAGTTCAGTTTCCTGAGCTAGTCTGGTGCTTATAATATTTTTTTTCTTTGAAACTTTCAGGTCTTCTTCTTCTAATGTTTCTTTGATTTGCAATAGCTTGCTAGCTCTTGGGAAGGGATGAAGCGTCTCAAAAGTAAGAGTCATGCCATTTTTAGTCTGGATAGGAATTATTTAAATAATCTTATGGATTTTATCACCTGTCTTGTTTACTTTTTACTCATTGCTGGGACAAAATATGAGCACCCAAAATTAAGGAAGAAAAGGTTTATTTAGCTCACAGTTAGTGGAGGTTTCAGTCCACTCTCTACTGACTCCAAGGCAAAAGGCAGCAGTTCACAGAGGCAGAGAACAATGAACAGCAGAGAAGGAGCAACAGGTGTGACTGTGAAGCCCAGTGAAGATCAGGGCTGCTGTGAAGGGGTGCATAGACCAAGGTGCTCTGAAGTGGCATGTCTGTGAAGATCAGAACTCCTCCCAGGAAGTGGAGTGTAGAAACCTTCCTCAACTCCTTTATATACCCTTTTTGTGCTGGGTATATAAGGACTCTGGGCCCCCACGCCCCAGGGAGTGAACTCTACAAGTGGATCCAGCCAAGCTTCTGACATCTCAGGTTGACACAATGTCTCAACCACCACACCATCCAATTTATTATCTGGACAAAATAACACCTGGTTGAAGTACACACATGGCCCATTATTATTATTATAAATTGATGTCCTGAGGAGAGAGAAAGAAGAAAAAGAATGTCTTGTTAACAATAATTGTTAGTGGGAGGTAGGAAGAAGTGTTTCACCACTGGTTATGATGTAGTGACCTACTTTTGAGCTAAAAGGCCACACTTCCATATGTTCATACTTAATAGGCTTATTCTAAGAAAGAGTGAGTTTCACATTTTCAACTGGTTGATCTGTGAGAAAGAGTTCATGTGATTTTCTAGAAACAAATGTTTAAAGTTGAAGACATTATAGGTATATTTTACTTATTTCAGTATATGAACATGTAGGAGAAAATAGTGTTCAAGACCTGAGAGACTGTAAGGAATTTAGAAACGACTTGGTACTCTTAAGTGAAAGGTTTCTTTTGCTCTTTTTTATTCAGTGTACATTGACTGAAAGCCTGGAAACATTGTGCTGTCATTTTTATGGCTTCAGGAGCATCTTCTGTAATTTACAGATTTCTCAGTCCTTTAGTATGTAAATATTAAAGGAGTTTCAAAATATGTTTCATTTGGAAAAGTGAATATTGCAACATTTCAAATTCTAAAGCATTCAAATCCAAGGAGTGCAGGTAAAGAGAAAGGTTTGTCTCTGATGAATAAGCCCAGAAATGTGGGCTGTAACGTGCGTGTCTTAGTTACTTTTCTCATTGCTGAGCCAAAATACCCAATACTCAGTTAAAGGAGGAAAGGTTTATTTAGCTCACAGGTTGTAGAGGTTTTCATCTATAATTGTTGGCTCCAAGGCAGTGTGGCATCTCAGAGCAGAAATGGTTCATGGCAGGCAGAAGGTAGGAAATCAAGCAAGAGAGGACCGCAGCTGCTTCCATTCCTTGCATGTTTTCTAGGGAACTTAGAGCAGCATTCACACTCTAAATCCAAGTGCCCTTGATCCTAGCAATTTCATGAATGAACCCCAGAGTCACACATCTAGACTGAGCCAGCTCTGAAAAAGCCAAATCTATGACCACATGAGGTTTTGCGAGGAAATGTAAACATAAGCCATAGCAGTGTAAAAGAACAAAGATTAAAAAATAATTATAATTAATAATAATGAAAATTAAAAGGAATATTGAGTTTTCAGGAAGGAATGATATATATAAAAGATGACTGTCTCTGCACTTGTATAATCAACAGATGACTTAAAAATGCATTAAGTAATTATTTTCTCTGCTGTATTTTTCAGTGTAACAGGCACTTTGTATTTTATATTACTGAAGAGAAAAATTGGATGCTTCATTGGAAAAAGAAAAAACAGAAAAGCATATCTTTTGTTTTTCTAACCACTGTTACAACTACCTCGATGTACTTGTACTTTTTGTTAGACAATCTTGAATGACCTTTATAAAATTAAATTCTGGAATTTAAGTGTAAACTCCAAAGTGCCTGAGGGTTCAGACTGAGAACTAGAAATGGTGAAGTA